CAGTTACCACCTCTGCATGGTTGTAAGTCATGCGGAGTCCCTCCGCCTTGTAGCGCTGTGGCTTTGCCGCTTAAACTCTGTAAGAGTGTTTGGGGGTGTGCGTCAAGCGGATTGTTGAGGACCGGTTATTTATTTAAGTTCAAAAATTGGGCAGGCGCTGTGGCCAATGGTAGCTCTTGTACCACTTCTGTATGCCGAAGGCAATACAGAGCCCCGAGAGACAACTCCGAGAGAGTTGTGATGCATCAAGCAAGTTTGTTGAGCATCGGTTATTTATTCAAGTTAAAAAATTGGGTAGGCGCTGTGGCCAATGGTAGCTCTTTACCACCTCTGTATGCTGAAAGTCATACAGAGCCCCAACAGCTTGTAGCGCTTTTGTTTTTGGTGATGCATCAAGCGAGACTGTTGAGCATGATTTGGGGTGCCAGCAATTAACTACTTTAGTAGGTTTGTTCTGCGGCAGTTGAGAAGTGCATCAAAAAATGCATACCCAATGAAGAACGAGCGAATTATTTTTAAACACAAGTGCGTGTGTTTATTCGCTGCACTTGGTTTTGGGCGGGAGCGCAATACAAGTGCGTGTGTATGTTCGCTGTTCTTTGTTTATGCGGGAAATGCATAAGTCGCTTAAATACTAATAAAATAATCGTGGTACAAAGCTCAATAAAAATATCAAAATCAATTTGGTTACTTCTCGACTTTTGGCCAGCAAATGATAGTCGCCAGACTAGTGCACTGTATAGGTTACGCACCCGCACTAATTTACAAAATTTTGTATTAATAAAAACGGTGACTTAAGTCGATAATAGCTTTTTTAATGTTACTCCTAACATTCGCATTCGTATTCGCGTTCGCAAATTTGCATTCCGAAAATTCGCAATCGCGAATGAGAAAAATATGATATTCGAAACATCCCTAATATGTATGTAAGGGCCAGTTTTTCAGAGCACGCCGCGGTTTAAACTTAGAACAACCAATCAAATGTCAGCCAGCTGTTCAATTTAAACTCAGTTTACTTAATCTAAGTTTAAACAGGCACTGAAAAACTGGCCCTAAGAGGCGTTTTCTTCAAAAAATTACCGCATTTGTATATACAGTCGTGTCTGGATATAGTGAACTAATTTTTGCATGGCCTGTTCATAGCATCCAGATTGTTCACTATATTAAGGTTGACTTATTTTGTTCAAAAACTTGTTTTATTTGCTCAAAATTCATGTTTGCTTATGTAAGTGCAACAGATCTTTGGAATAAATGTCCAAAATGTCCACAAATGTTTGATCCGAACCGAAAACCGAACCACTTTCCATAACGGTTTAAAGGTTCGTTTCAACCAGTTTTCAATAGATAAGTGTACTCACTTTTTTTCTTTTTGTTTGTTTTTGTTGTTTGTTTACCATGTGACAATATATAATGTAAAGGCAACCCATCTCATTTGACAGACACTTGATCCTTAACCTTGCGCGTTGTTGCACTTGACACTCGACACTTAAACTTGCGCGTTATTTTTTTGTTTTTCGAACCGTTGAACCGAACCGAAACTCCGGTCCAAAGACCAAAAAACCGCTTTGCCGGACCAATCCAAAAGTGCAAAAACGGTTCGAACCGCTGAACCGAACCGACCAAATTTTTCATCTGGTTTACGTCCCTGGTTCATGCATGAGGAAATTGACTTTTGGACCGATAACATTTAAAAATTATTTAAATCCTAAATTTATTAGCGCACAAAAACTAAAAAAACACATAAAACAGCGCACATTCACTCACAAGCGGTTGGAACTCGACAAGAACCAAATAAACATTAGCATCAAATAGTAGCAGCTTTTCTAGTAATAAACATAAAGTGGTAAATTTTAGGGAATAACCGCTTTCATTTCCGATTAAATTTAGTATTTTTTTGTCAATTTATGCTAGCCGTTGCTTTTAAAATTTTGTTCACTATTTAGAGGCTTTCGATTGTTCACTTAGAGTACTCTGTGTAAATATTTCGGTGTTCACTATATCGAGGTGTTCACTGTAGCGGGCGTTCGCTATATAGAGACACGACTGTATATTTATGTACAGTGGTCCAAAAATGCATGTGAAAAAGTAAAGTCGGAATTTTAATGCCGCCACCCCGTACGAATACCGAAAAAAATATAGCCCTATTTTTTTATTTTAAAATAAAAAAAAATTGAGGAGTGCTCAAAGCGCTCAAAGTTTTACATGTATTTGATATAGGGGAAAAACAACTTTGCGTAGAAATGGTATAGAATTCTTGAAGATTTTCAAAAGTGGGATGTTAAATTAAAGCTCTTGGCCTTGTGGATGTGCTTATTTTTTTCGAAAACTGCTGCTGCCTTAAAAAGTTGCATTCAAATCATTTAATAATCAATCAATCCATACCGTTCGTTCGATTGTCAATAATGAGGTATCAAATTAAAGGGATTGACCTGTTGATGTGCAAAAGAAGGTTTTATTTTTTCAAAAGGAGATGCCACCTCTAAAAAAATTAGATTGAAATGATTTAATAAGTTAAATCAACTATTACAATATGGGTATCAATTGGAAAGGTTTTTAAAGTGCTTTATTTCTTAACCTCATGTAGAAGGGTTGCCACCTGTTCAAAACAAATCAAATTCAATACGAATTAAGGGAATTAGGTAATTGAAATATGTATAACCTTACGAGTGCCAGATGAAAGAGAGTTACCGAGAGATATTACAGTTTGAAAACAGTTTGGAAGAGGGCTGCCATTTGTTTTAAAAGCCGAATTTGGTTCACATATACACAAGTTGTTTGAATTATGTATAACGAAAGAGTGCTAAAAAATCTGTACGCAGTTTGAACATTAGGCTTTTTTTGAGGTTTTGAGAAGGGTTTCCAGCTGTAGAAAAGATTAAATTCAAATTAATTAATAAGTTAAATATATTAATTACAGGATTTATTTGTGATCTGCAGTTAGGAGACTTGTCACGTGGTTAAAAAATCATATTCAATTTAATTCATTAGCTAATTGAATTATGTATCGTAATATCAGACGATTTTAGTTTGAAAATACTTCTAAAAAGGATTGTCAGCTGTTTGAAATGTCCAATTTATTAAAGTTATGCACAAGTTAAAATACAATCGCCGTTCGGGGTCGGCGTAAAACTGTAGGTCCCTCCCCTTTGTGAGACAACATCCAGGCGCACGCCACAAATCGGAGATGAAGCTGGGCCAAACAGTAACATAAGTGTAAGCGCCAATCTATTATTATTATACAGAAGTTAAATGAAATGTTAAAATATGAGTGTCAAACGAAAGGTTTTGAAAGAATTTACTTTGAAAATATTTTTTGTTAGGATTGCCACCTATTCGAAAAGTAATATCCATCTTACTATATACATATGTATATTAAGCGTGGTCCATACAGTGTTTTTTTTTTAATCGTGTTTTATTTGACAGTAACAGCTCTTTCCCGCTGGAAATTTTGATAGTAAGTCAGTATCATAACTCCGCGGAACGAAATGATCGCTTTACGTTTGAACAATGTTAGGAGTAAAGCAAACGAAATGGACAACGATTTTGCTCGAAAAATTTTCCTTTCTAACGAAGCGCAATTTCATCTCGCCGGTTGTGTTGACAAACAAACAAAACGCATATACGGATCGGAAAACCCGCACGTGATCGTGTGCCACTTCGGTCAGCGCTACAGAGGA